TACACTGCGACGACTGGTGCAACCGGCCCAGGCAAACGCAAAGAGCAACCGGCATTGTAGCCTGGACACTGGAACCATGAACGTATGAGATTACAAGCGGCCGCAGCCAGCTTTGCACTTCCTTGCAACCGAACGCGGGGCCTATGTCCAAGACCTGTGTCACAAGCGGCGTGCCCACTCACTCAACACGCAATCCATTCTAACGTTCTCACTCAGATGCAATGATGTGTACGTATTATTGCTAACTCTCCCCACGCGCGCAATCTGCACCTGTATTGAGCGCTAAAAAGTAAATCCGCAGGTGCTCAATTGTGTCGCTTTTTTCCGAATGCATTGTCGTAAGCGTGTCCTTCTTCAATTTGTTGCAAATGCGCTGTACGGCCTACAAAAGTTGGGTTGCGCTTCTTACGATGCAGCAAGCACCACCCATCACGCGCGTATTTTAACAATTCGGTTAGTTTATCCTCGAAATTCCGTGGGGCTTTAAAGAACTATTGATTGTGATGAGTCTTAACTATGGTGTTCTCTCAATTCACCTAAAGCGCATCGAAGACCGGGACATATCCACAAGAGTACAATTCGCTGATATCTAGAGAGTAAAAACGTCCATTCAATTGACGCAAAAAACAAACTACTCACTGTTTCTTCAGCATCTATGGCGCTTTCTGAATTTGCATTTCTCCTCGTAGCGGAACGAGTATGATACCAACTTCCATGCTCAAATACATTCAGGTGACTCCCCCGGCATATTATTGCTGACAGGTAGCACGAAGTGACCGATCTGACCACCATTTACCGCTAGCCAACAGCTATATCGCATCTCCCAAACACATGTACCGGTGCAGTGCATAATGTTTTGGAGGATGCGGGTCTCGCAAGCCACTCCTGAAGCCGGCCCCTAGAATCGACAGGCTTGCGTACACAGACCACGTTCAACAGCCCAATCTGTCATAAAATTAACTCACTTCTTCACTCTAGAGGCATTCAAACTACCAGGAAGAACGCTAAGTTTCTACCCACCTCGATTGCGCTAATTAAATTCTGAGAGGCAGATCAGGTGCTCCGCTACAACGCCTCTCGCGCCGTTCGATTTTCTGTCAAAAAGAAAGAAATGCAGTTTCATATAGAACAATCAACGGTGCGTATCGCAAGATCCACTATGATGGTCACTCAGTATGTCCACGACTAGGTCCACTAACACGGCGAATGTGTATAACGCGTGGCTGCCTCGGAACGTCCTAGGGACACGGACCCTCAGATTTTCTATACAGCTGATTTAATTTTTCCTAACGGACTAATCTTTCGCATAGTTATACATCACATAGCGTTGCGCTGCACTCTCTGGGATTTGATTTGCAGCTTCAAAGAGCAAAGTACCGTCGCAGGAGTGGGCCAATCAGGCACCGGTTGTAGCCATCAGCAAACAGCCACTGGGAGTGTTGGATCCGTCCACTCACTTTGACAGTCACTTCTGGTTGTCACATCACTGAAGTAGTTACTTCGCGTAATAAGCAAAGCTAACATGGCTTTTCAGTGGCTCAAGTGTCTATGGAAACGACGGGATACCATCCTGTCGGTGAACGGTAGGGTGTATGACGCTGCGATATGGCCGATGTTACTGTATGGATCAGAGACTTGGCCAGTTAGCAGCGAAAACATTATATTCTTAACCGTGTTTGATCACCGGTACTGGCTGAGTATTGTTCACCTCTGGTGGGAACACCAGGTGAGCAACGCTGAGGTCCGAAGTTGGTTTTTGGCAAGAAGCTTTCTGGTGCCTCATTTTAGTGTTTGCCGAAGCAGAGCCACTTACGTTAGCTATGTCCCGTTCTTCATATGCCCGATAACCAGCTTCCTCGCCGACGCTGCACCAAGTTAGGCGAAACCACGAAGTGACAGGTCAATGAAGTGGCATAGAAGTTGACAGAAACTTGGTCAGACTAGTGCGTGTCGTCCTCGTGAAGGTGCACAGCAGTAACAGTAGAATCTATCGGATATGGCGCAGTCAGCGGCGTTCCAACATTCGTTTTCTTGCATCTAGCTTGTTTCCAGTTTGTTTGCAATCCATTTGCGCGCAAGGTCATTTACTTACCGTTGTTAGTTATTATTATATTTATCGACAAGAGTCATGGCAACTGGATCCACTGCACTTCAATGCACAGTTCATAGTTTAGTAACAACTCAAATGTACTGAACCCAGAGCCTATTATTGCCATATGGTTCGCTCTTTAACGGAAATTCCCAAAGGCAGTTGCGTTGTGCTCTGGCTCAGTGGCCCAAGTAGGCTAAGCCACTGGCCCCTGTTTGTAAGCTAGATAGGAGTCCACGCCGTTTACTTATGGTTGCCAGAACAGCAACTGAAGGCAGGTGATCGATTGCGGAACGTGGTCTAACCTCCTCCAACGACGAATGTGCTTTTCCGTCTTTCGACCACATATGGATACGTCGTATCGTGACCCGTCACCATTGTCTTTGAAGCCAGTTAGCGCTTCAGAAAGCCTTGATAACCGATAATGATGTAACTTGCAGCGTATCGCAACGGTAGACTTCAGAAAGGGGTTATCTCAAGCTAAGCTATAGGCATAGAAATGAACAAGCGTGGGACTGAAATGCCACATGGGCAGTAACTGAGTAGAAGATGGAGCCATCTTAGTGTCCAACTAGAAGGATCTCTTAGGACCTGAGTGATAACTTTGAGTCACTAATCTGAAGGTCACGGCATCACACTTCAGACGGATATTGGAGCTTTCACGTAGTATTTTCCTCTGACAAACTTCAAGATAACAAGAAGGAGCATTTCAACGGAATGCTCTGAATTCAGATATCTCGGGTATTCTTGGAGCGCTCGGCACAAGTGAGCTCCATGGTTCGGAGCGTCGAAACCGCGATGCAGGTTCATTTGGGATTGAGGCAAATTTTGACCACTGCAGCTATGTTCTACGTGATCAATACCAGGAAGCCTAACATTGAGTATTCGAACTCTATGAATTCCTTGGGATTTTGAATATTCCACACCACACATTCTAAGCACTCCAAGTGTTCGGAAGCGTCCACCGACCAAAGTTAGTCGAAACCCGTCTTCAATCTGACAAATACTTCGGTCGTGCATGCAACTTCCTGCATACCGGTATTAGCTCGCTAACCGTCATTCATTTCGATATCTATCGTGGAAGCATAAAAACCGAATGCATCAAACTACCTTCACAGCTAAAAACGATATATGTATAGATAAACAGTAATAACCCCGGCTGTTCCATCGTAGCAGGTAGTTAGGGGACACTGCATTCCCAAAACTCGTGCGTTTCGTTCACTACCAACCTACTTCCCGTGTTCAGCGCTAACTCCAATCGACACTTACAAGCTATGGTGCATGGCACCCTTCGGATGCGCAGTAAACGAAAGCAAAGCTTGACACTTCCAAAGGCTGACACGTGAGCGCATATTGTTCTACCAGAACTTCTGACATTAACAAGTTAACAGACAGAAATTATAGGTAGAAATGCGTCACATTTAGACTCACTCGGACAGCCACCACACGCCCGGAAAAGCACTGTACGCGCGTTTCATCCTTTCGGGAATCGTCAGCAGTGCGTATTCCATCGGACCCTGGTAGGGATTGAACCCGCAACTCAACTGTTGCCAGTCCGTGGTTGAGACCACTGAGCTACGGGGGCCGGCAACGAAAATCGTGAATAAGTTACTAGATGTTATATGGCGCCGCTCACTATCCACTGACTTGCACGTTACTCTCGTGCAAAGGACAGGGTAGCCCCTCACCAAGCGACGAGCTTACCAAACTTAAGCCGCCAATTAACTTGTGGCATTATAAACAGTTTGGTCTGCGTAGACAGAAATTAAGCGCGTGGCGCTATCGGTGCAGGGAAGACTTGGAGACTGTGTTATAGAATGTGGCAACAGCGCACATCGCTGATGAAGGACTAAGACTATCACCTTCCGTCCTAGTGTGTACATAGGTTTCTCTCGCTCCGTCACATAGATCTGGCTGAGATCGGTATCATCAGACATGTTCGCGCCGCTGAAAACTAAGGACCTACTGTGTTTGACAGCTGAATGGCCCATTACGATATCACAAGTCTGGAATTGGATGTGATTATTTCGCTTTATCGGTTGCCATGGTAAGTAATCTGAAAGATGCACATGTGGCAAAACTGATTTAGGGTTAACCAGGATCGATCAACAAGCACAGCTATCAGACTCGCAGGTCACACTAACCCAGTGATGCGGTCTGGTGGGTAGCTGACTAATAAAATGTTAAGATAAGTGTGTCAGTCCGGAATTCAACTCGCAGTGGAATGAAAAGCATTGGCGGAGTCCGGATAGTGTTTACTCCTCTGCAATGACGTTGAGGACTAATAAAGTACCGTTTGAAGAATGGCGGTGCTAGAGGTGAGAAAAGTGTGTAGGTCCCGCTGCGGTTCCCAACAACCACACATCTTGGTCACTCAGCGTTCTTAATAAGTGGTATGCCGTCTACTGACAGAAGACAGTCGACCCGTTTCTGCCCGAATCACTAACGACATGCGCGGGTGCGTCGGGTGGTTGTTAGTCGCAAATTCAAGGAATGTTAGTAGAGTGCGATCTTGGTCTTATTTGACGTTTAGACTCTGTGTTACTGATCATCCGCAACCGAAAGTCGAGACATCGGTGTGCGTAGGCGTAACAGAAATGGTTGTGGAGATGCGACAGAGGCGAACAAGATCCAGGCCGTGGCGGTACTGGTGGCAACAGGAATATGATCTCCGCTAAAGAGCAACAACCGTGTCGTCAATCAGTATTCGGCAAACCTAACTAGACTGTACTCAGTGATGGATGACTGCCGAATCACAAGCAGTGTCGACTATATCAAGGAAAAACATAAACTATCGATGGTTGTATATTATAAAAATAAAAAATGATGATGGAACTGATGAAAAAGGTCAAAAATCGCGGCGAAAGTACGCAACTGGCGTTGAAATGTCCGGTGTCAACGGATGAGAGAATCACAACAAGCCTTCCAACAGGATCGCCGAAGCACCACCGCCACCGTTGCAAATGGTCGCAATACCCTTCTGCCCACGTTTCAGCTGCGATGCCAAGTGGTTGGTTATGCGCGTTCCAGACATTCTGTGAGTAAGAGGAGGGGAAAAAAGTTGTCGTGGATGGGAATCAGAAAGCAAAAGCATCGGCTGAATACATTAAGAATACAACTATTATCATCATTATTACTGAGCAAGAATGACACAGGAGAATTGGTGTAAAAAGGATGTAGTTGAGTTGCAGAGCTTGAAGAACACCTTCCGATCCAAACAACTGTGAGTCGTGCATGAAAATGAAGTGAAGAATGGTAGTGTACGAAAGGCATGGGGTGGGGGTTGAAATGAATCACACCATACATGTGCAAAGCGATAATCACTAAAAAGTGCATACTGATGCCATACATTAATTGGTTGAATAGCGCTGGACAGGACATCTTTAGCACGGTGTCGAGTTGCCCTCTGGGATTTAAGAAGAAAGCCGGGGCGGCGACCAGAATTCAGGGAAGTGTGCTCGGACCACTACTTTTCCTAATCTACGTAAACAACATATGTGACCCCATCAAACATGGACACCCATTTCTGCTTGCAGATGATGTCAAACTAGTTTACTCATTTCATCCAGACCAAGTACAAATGTGCCTGGGAAACATCTGTGAAGACCTATCCGCACTAAATATAGCTAGTGAGCGTTTATTAATGAAGTTCTCCGCAGTGAAATCCCAAGTACTTGGGTACAGATGCCGCATCTCAGAAGGCTCTGTCACACTTGCCGGAAACGTGATCCGAACGTCTGATTCAGTTCGGGACTTAGGAATTAGGTACTCCAACACTTTCAATTTCTCCGAACATGTACTTTAACAGGTTGCGAAAGCAAGGCAGTTATGCAGATTTATCACCAGAAGTTTCTCCCTACCTGAAGCACAACTTGAGTCATTCAAGACAATAGTACCACCGACTCTGGAATAGTGTACTATCGTTCACAGCCAATTGAGAAAGAAAGACAGAACGGCTCTGGAAAACGTCCAAAGATCATTTATCAAGCTAGTCATAGGGCGTTACTCAAACCTGACTTATTATGATCGTTGTCGAAAACTCCAACTGGATCCTCTTCGGTTGAGATGCTTAAAGAAAAACCTTGTTCGCTTCTACAACATTATAAACCAACGAATTTACGCAGACAGCACCGCACTTGAACTACGAAAGACTGCAGTCTACCCCACATGTATTGGTGGCTACTTGATACGCACAAATCTTTTAAGTCATAAAACTCGATCGAATTTCTTCTTAGTGAGATACACCGATCTGTGGAACAAACTGCCCTACAGATATGCATGAGTACAAGCTATGTCACATTGCGAAATTCCCTTCAGACGTTCCTCACTATATGAAATGTGTTGAAGATCTTTGACTCACAGCAAACTCTAGAAACATTGACAGAAGCTGGTATAGAAAACATATGCAGATATTCGCTTACAACTAGCTGACCCACTACATGTCATTACATACAATACCAAATCCTGTGTCTGTGCAGCCTAGTATCCCCTCCCGTTTATTATCTACTCCTGAGACGCACAAACTAGAAAATAATGACACAAACATCCGTAAATTTTACATATAAGTGCACGGGTATAGGACTCGCGGAAAAAAGACATGGTCAGAAATTATATCAAACTTTTCTTTGCTATTATGATTTACGCTGCATAAACCATGAAACCCATTCACTATACAAATGATGGCTCTCACTTATGGGGTCGTGTACCGTCTGTCGGTAAACATACAAATTTATTTATTTTGATCAGAAAGCAACATTATTTATGGGCATCTTTGATTGCTCTCTCTGACGGAAGCTTAGCATATTCATCAATCGAGCCCGTTGATCGCGTGGGCTTACAAGACGTGTGGGCGTTGCTGCTCAGGTAGCGGCGATCGATTAGCTTTCAGGATGTTGGCCCAAATTCGTTCAGCTCGCCGTTGATAAACAACCAGTATGCTAGACGTGATATCTCATCACTCCACCCTCCATTCTATGTTTCTTCGTTGTTCTGTTATTGCAGATTCCGTAGTGACCTCCACCGCGGAAGAGGTTTCAGACCTACACTGCGATCTTATTTGGCTTGTTCTGTTGAGGCTACTCCTCGTCAGAGTGCAGAGCCTGTCCACCGCATTCTATAGCTTTCCCTCCCGACCTTCTTTTAGACTTCCTTTCCGATGCACTTCAGCTCTAGGTATCGGTACAAACCATACCACGCCTCTAGACGCTAGAAAGTGAGTGTCTTGATCCGTATCTGTGGTACGTTTTTCGCCGCCGTCATCGGTTTGAAGAGGATCTCGCAGATGAGTAGTCGAAGTTTTTTCGGGTTTCAAATTTACGATGGCTCTAGGATCGGCTTTTAGTGGCATTGGTTGTCCTTGAATCGAGAGTGTTGCAATAACCCATCTCCATCCTTCGTGAGCCCGCTTGTTATTTACTGGAATCAGTTGCATTTCTTACCGAATTTCACTATCGAGTGAGCAAATGTTGACCGATAAGCAGCAAGGAGCGAAAAAGTTTGATCGGCTTTCACAATTATCACCAGATCTCTCGATTATTTCAGAGATCCGATTCTTGGTCGTAGGCGCAGAAATTCCAGCCTCGCATCTTAGCCGATAGAGTACATAAACATGGCTAAGTGGTATGGACTCGAATATTCATCTAACTCAATCAGCGTCTCTAAGTCCATCCACATTGCATTTCACAGAAGTCAGTTTCCGAGTAGCGTAATGGAGCCGGCGTCATTATAAACGATTGCTGACCAAAACAAAGCTGGTGCTTGCTTATGGCGTGTAATGCCAGTCGAGAATCACAAGCGAAGACTGGGCTGCGGTTAGAATCCTATTTTGATTAGATGGCAGCATATTATTGATGGGGCAAAATACGCTCGAGCGAGTTTGAATTGGTTTTCCTTGATAGGCTGCCTCGGGCGGAAATTTAGCATATACATCGAGCGAGCAGGTTTACAAGGCGATTATCGCTCACACGTGTAAGCGTCGCTGCTCGGCTGGCGGCGATCGATCAGGTTTGACACTGCCAGCCAAAATCCGCTCAGCTTGCTCATTTGATAAACAATCAGGATGCTCTTAGCATTACCTCAGAAGGGAGCAACTTCTAGTTATTTAAAGCTTTGGTTCACCTAACTGCAGTTTCCTACTTAGCTCGTCAGTGTCCACCGTACAATCTGTTGCAACTGGCTCGATCGATATAACATTCTTCGAATTTAGTCTTGTTACCGTGTCACTTTGTAGTGCTTTCTGGGCGTCCTACAAACCATATGATATTCGCACTTCCGGTCGTCGGACGATGAAGAGATGTGTAGCACGCGAGTTGGAGCGCTGTGTCCAACAAAAGAGGATGGTGGATAGGGTACAATCGATTGACCAGCAGGACACGAGTTACCGAGAGAGCGATTGTGTGGCTTTAGAGAGGAATCCGATTTTCATGCAATGGTACCTCGTTCGCACTTCACAAATGTTGCCTGTGAACCTGTGGGTATACGCCGGATCCAGTGTTCAAGCTAGACGTGATACGGATACGAAAATTGTGTCAAACACGTGCGATGAACAAGAGAAACTGCAGTCTGACTACTGCATACGCTGTTCAGCAGATGCCAGTGTTTGAGGAGCGTAATTAATCGTGGTCCAGAGTGCTGGTGAATTCCAACAACAGATGTGATTCGACGATTCAACAACTGGTAGATTCATCAGCGGAGGATAGAGAAACGACTGAAAAGGGGGACAAAGGTAAAGGCAGACATGAACAACGCGCGTATGGCCCGCTGGCAACGAATTATGAAGCGCGTGTAGGTTTGGCGATACATGGCATACTCACGATGAATCGCATGGCAACATGGATCGAGAAAGCGTGCCATGTCGATTTCAGGAGCAGATGTGACAACGCTGAATCAGAGCACCAAAAATGAGTGTAAGGTACTCTGAGGAGAGCAGATAAGAACACGAGCAAAGGTATAAAGCCACGCACATCGAACTCGGATCCAAGTACCATAATACAGCAGCAGGGTCTTTCAAAACAACAGATGCGAATCGTTGACAACTCTTAAGGAATACGAGATGGAAGAATACGGGAGTGGAGTAGTCAATGCAAAAAGGCGATTAAATGCAGCCATGAGTGGTTAACAGAAATTTCGTGTCGTATTATTCAAGCCCGAGTGCTTCATAATGAACTCCCCCCAATTCATCATCATCATCATCATACACGTTAGCTAGAGGTGGGAAACACCTCAGCTACTGTGCCGTAATACATAGAAAAAAGGAGAAAAAAAGCAAATGGTGCAATCCGGCTAAACTACCGGTAACGGATGGGTATCGTACCGGTAAGTTACCAGCCGGCTACTATGCATCGAAAAAAATTACTATGCAAAATAATATAAGGCTAAATAATGAGATTGTGGTTGGAGAGGGAGGGACAAAGAAACTCACAGCACGAACGCCACTGAGGTCGGCTCCTAGCCATATCAGCAAGTGTGTCAAACCAAAGTGTTCATCGGCTTTCGGACCCCAACCAGGGAGCCGAGACACTCCAACCGAGGCCAGATCAGAAGTGAGGGTCTTCATTCCTCTGGACCAAGTCATCGCTTGGCCACCCCTCCTCTTCTTCCATCCACTTCCCCGGTGAGCAAACAACGCACGTCGCGGGAGTCGGTGGGCTGGCATGCGTAACACGTGGCCGAGCCATCGGAGCCTGATGCGTGAAATAACGGTGCTGAGCGGTTCAGTTCCTTTTCCTGTGCCGTAAACGAGACGTCGAACACGCTCGTTGTTTACTCCGTGTTCCCACCAGATGTGAGCTAAATTGCGAACGCACCGGTGGTCGAACGTAACTAGCCTCTTCAGATCTGCTGCTTTAAGCGTCCAGGTTTCACAACCGTACAGTAGGGTCGAACGTACCGCTGCATTGTACACTGTACCCTTCAGAGCAAGAGTGATGTCGCGCCGGCGCCATAAGTGGCGAAGGTTAGCAAAAGCGCCCCGAGCTTTTGCTATACGGTTCGTGATCTCATCCTCAATCCCACGGGCGCTGATACAACTTCTCAG